TGTGTGGAGGAGAAGGAGGAGGTCAGAGTGTGAGGAAGAGGAGGTCAGAGTGTGTGGAGGAGAAGGAGGAGGTCAGAGTGTGTGGAGGAGGAGGAGGAGGTCAGAGTGTGTAAGGAGGAGGTGGTCAGAGTGTGTGGAGGAGGAGGTCAGAGTGTGTGGAGGAGAAGGAGGAGGTCAGTGTGTAGAGGAGGAGAAGGAGGAGGTCAGAGTGTGAGGAGGAGGAGGTCAGAGTGTGTGGAGGAGAAGGAGGAGGTCCTAGTGTGTGGAGGAGGTCAGAGTGTGAGGAGGAGGAGGAGGAGGTCAGAGTGTGTGGAGGAGAAGGAGGTCAGAGTGTGAGGAGGAGAAGGAGGAGGTCAGAGTGTGAGGAGGAGGAGGTCAGAGTGTGTGGAGGAGGAGGTCAGAGTGTGAGGAGGAGAAGGTCAGAGTGTGTGGAGGAGAAGGAGGAGGTCAGTGTGTAGAGGAGGAGAAGGAGGAGGTCAGAGTATGTGGAGGAGGAGGTCAGAGTGTGAGGAGGAGGAGGAGGTCAGAGTGTGTGGAGGAGGAGGTCAGAGTGTGAGGAGGAGGAGGAGGAGGTCAGAGTGTGTGGAGGAGAAGGAGGTCAGAGTGTGAGGAGGAGAAGGAGGAGGTCAGAGTGTGAGGAGGAGGAGGTCAGAGTGTGAGGAGGAGAAGGTCAGAGTGTGAGGAGGAGAAGGAGGAGGTCAGAGTGTGTGGAGGAGGAGGAGGAGGTCAGAGTGTGTGGAGGAGGAGGAGTAGGTCAGAGTGTGTGGAGGAGGAGGAGGAGGTCAGAGTGTTTGGAGAAGGAGGAGGTCAGAGTGTGTGGAGGAGGAGGAGGTGGTCAGAGTGTGTGGAGGAGGAGGAGGAGGAGGTGGTCAGAGTGTGTGGAGGAGAAGGAGGAGGTCAGAGTGTGTGGAGGAGGAGGAGGTGGTCAGAGTGTGTGGAGGAGGAGGAGGAGGTCAGAGTGTGTGGAGGAGGAGGAGGAGGTCAGAGTGTGTGGAGGAGGAGGAGGAGGTCAGAGTGTGTGGAGAAGGAGGAGGTCAGAGTGTGTGGAGGAGGAGGAGGTGGTCAGAGTGTGTGGAGGAGGAGGAGGAGGTGGTCAGAGTGTGTGGAGGAGAAGGAGGAGGTCAGAGTGTGTGGAGGAGGAGGAGGTGGTCAGAGTGTGTGGAGGAGAAGGAGGAGGTCAGAGTGTGTGGAGAAGGAGGTCAGAGTGTGTGGAGGAGGAGGAGGTGGTCAGAGTGTGTGGAGGAGGAGGTCAGAGTGTGAGGAGGAGGAGGTGGTCAGAGTGTGTGGAGGAGAAGGAGGAGGTCAGAGTGTGTGGAGGAGAAGGAGGAGGTCAGAGTGTGTGCAGGAGGAGGAGGAGGTCAGAGTGTGTGGAGGAGGAGGAGGAGGTCAGAGTGTGTGGAGGAGGAGGAGGTGGTCAGAGTGTGTGGAGGAGAAGGAGGAGGTCAGAGTGTGTGGAGGAGAAGGAGGAGGTCAGAGTGTGTGGAGGAGAAGGAGGAGGTCAGAGTGTGTAGAGGAGGAGAAGGAGGAGGTCAGAGTGTGAGGAGGAGGAGGTCAGAGTGTGAGGAGGAGGAGGTCAGAGTGTGTGGAGGAGGAGGTCAGAGTGTAAGGAGAAGGAGGTCAGAGTGTGTGGAGGAGGAGGAGGTGGTCAGAGTGTAAGGAGGAGGTGGTCAGAGTGTGTGGAGGAGGAGGTCAGAGTGTGTGGAGGAGAAGGAGGAGGTCAGAGTGTGTAGAGGAAGAGAAGGAGGAGGTCAGAGTGTGAGGAGGAGGAGGTCAGAGTGTGAGGAGGAGGAGGTCAGAGTGTGTGGAGGAGAAGGAGGAGGTCAGAGTGTGAGGAGGAGGAGGTCAGAGTGTGTGGAGGAGAAGGAGGAGGTCAGAGTGTGTGGAGGAGGAGGAGGAGGTCAGAGTGTAAGGAGGAGGTGGTCAGAGTGTGTGGAGAAGGAGGTCAGAGTGTGTGGAGGAGAAGGAGGAGGTCAGAGTGTGTGGAGAAGGAGGTCAGAGTGTGTGGAGGAGGAGGTCAGAGTCTGTCAGAGTGTGTGAGAAGGAGGAGGTCAGAGTGTGTGGAGGAGGAGGTCAGAGTGTGTGGAGGAGGAGGTCAGAGTCTGAGGAGGAGGAGGAGGAGGTCAGAGTGTGTGGAGGAGGAGGTCAGAGTGTGTGGAGGAGGAGGTCAGAGTGTGAGGAGGAGGAGGAGGAGGTCAGTGTGTAGAGGAGGAGAAGGAGGAGGTCAGAGTGTGAGGAGGAGGAGGTCAGAGTGTGTGGAGGAGAGGAGGAGGTCCTAGTGTGTGGAGGAGGTCAGAGTGTGAGGAGGAGGAGGAGGTCAGAGTGTGTGGAGGAGGTCAGAGTGTGAGGAGGAGAAGGAGGAGGTCAGAGTGTGAGGAGGAGAAGGAGGAGGTCAGAGTGTGAGGAGGAGGAGGTCAGAGTGTGTGGAGGAGGAGGTCAGAGTGTGAGGAGGAGAAGGTCAGAGTGTGTGGAGGAGAAGGAGGAGGTCAGTGTGTAGAGGAGGAGAAGGAGGAGGTCAGAGTGTGTGGAGGAGAAGGAGGAGGTCAGAGTGTGTGGAGGAGAAGGAGGAGGTCAGAGTGTGTAGAGGAGGAGAAGGAGGAGGTCAGAGTGTGAGGAGGAGGAGGTCAGAGTGTGAGGAGGAGGAGGTCAGAGTGTGTGGAGGAGGAGGTCAGAGTGTAAGGAGAAGGAGGTCAGAGTGTGTGGAGGAGGAGGAGGTGGTCAGAGTGTAAGGAGGAGGTGGTCAGAGTGTGTGGAGGAGGAGGTCAGAGTGTGTGGAGGAGACGGAGGAGGTCAGAGTGTGTAGAGGAGGAGAAGGAGGAGGTCAGAGTGTGAGGAGGAGGAGGTCAGAGTGTGAGGAGGAGGAGGTCAGAGTGTGTGGAGGAGAAGGAGGAGGTCAGAGTGTGAGGAGGAGGAGGTCAGAGTGTGAGGAGGAGGAGGTCAGAGTGTGAGGAGGAGGAGGTCAGAGTGTGTGGAGGAGAAGGAGGAGGTCAGAGTGTGAGGAGGAGGAGGTCAGAGTGTGTGGAGGAGAAGGAGGAGGTCAGAGTGTGTGGAGGAGGAGGAGGAGGTCAGAGTGTAAGGAGGAGGTGGTCAGAGTGTGTGGAGAAGGAGGTCAGAGTGTGTGGAGGAGAAGGAGGAGGTCAGTGTGTGTGGAGGAGGAGGTCAGAGTGTGTGGAGGAGAAGGAGGAGGTCATAGTGTGAGGAGGAGAAGGAGGAGGTCAGAGTGTGTGGAGGAGGAGGTCAGAGTGTGTGGAGGAGGAGGTCAGAGTGTGAGGAGGAGGAGGAGGAGGTCAGAGTGTGTGGAGGAGGAGGTCAGAGTGTGTGGAGGAGGAGGTCAGAGTGTGAGGAGGAGGAGGAGGAGGTCAGTGTGTAGAGGAGGAGAAGGAGGAGGTCAGAGTGTGAGGAGGAGGAGGTCAGAGTGTGTGGAGGAGAAGGAGGAGGTCATAGTGTGAGGAGGAGAAGGAGGAGGTCAGAGTGTGTGGAGGAGGAGGTCAGAGTGTGTGGAGGAGGAGGTCAGAGTGTGAGGAGGAGGAGGAGGAGGAGGTCAGAGTGTGTGGAGGAGAAGGAGGAGGTCAGAGTGTGAGGAGGAGAAGGTCAGAGTGTGTGGAGGAGAAGGAGGAGGTCAGTGTGTAGAGGAGGAGAAGGAGGAGGTCAGAGTGTGAGGAGGAGGAGGTCAGAGTGTGTGGAGGAGAAGGAGGAGGTCCTAGTGTGTGGAGGAGGTCAGAGTGTGAGGAGGAGGAGGAGGAGGTCAGAGTGTGTGGAGGAGGTCAGAGTGTGAGGAGGAGAAGGAGGAGGTCAGAGTGTGAGGAGGAGAAGGAGGAGGTCAGAGTGTGAGGAGGAGGAGGTCAGAGTGTGTGGAGGAGGAGGTCAGAGTGTGAGGAGGAGGAGGAGGTCAGAGTGTGTGGAGGAGAAGGAGGAGGTCAGTGTGTAGAGGAGGAGAGGGAGGAGGTCAGAGTGTGTGGAGGAGAAGGAGGAGGTCAGAGTGTGTGGAGGAGAAGGAGGAGGTCAGAGTGTGTAGAGGAGGAGAAGGAGGAGGTCAGAGTGTGAGGAGGAGGAGGTCAGAGTGTGAGGAGGAGGAGGTCAGAGTGTGTGGAGGAGGAGGTCAGAGTGTAAGGAGAAGGAGGTCAGAGTGTGTGGAGGAGGAGGAGGTGGTCAGAGTGTAAGGAGGAGGTGGTCAGAGTGTGTGGAGGAGGAGGTCAGAGTGTGTGGAGGAGACGGAGGAGGTCAGAGTGTGTAGAGGAGGAGAAGGAGGAGGTCAGAGTGTGAGGAGGAGGAGGTCAGAGTGTGAGGAGGAGGAGGTCAGAGTGTGTGGAGGAGAAGGAGGAGGTCAGAGTGTGAGGAGGAGGAGGTCAGAGTGTGAGGAGGAGGAGGTCAGAGTGTGTGGAGGAGAAGGAGGAGGTCAGAGTGTGAGGAGGAGGAGGTCAGAGTGTGTGGAGGAGAAGGAGGAGGTCAGAGTGTGTGGAGGAGGAGGAGGAGGTCAGAGTGTAAGGAGGAGGTGGTCAGAGTGTGTGGAGGAGGAGGTCAGAGTGTGTGGAGGAGAAGGAGGAGGTCAGTGTGTGAGGAGGAGGAGGAGGTCAGAGTGTGAGGAGGAGGAGGTCAGAGTGTGTGGAGGAGAAGGAGGAGGTCATAGTGTGAGGAGGAGAAGGAGGAGGTCAGAGTGTGTGGAGGAGGAGGTCAGAGTGTGAGGAGGAGGAGGAGGTCAGAGTGTGTGGAGGAGGAGGTCAGAGTGTGAGGAGGAGGAGGAGGAGGTCAGAGTGTGTGGAGGAGAAGGAGGAGGTCAGAGTGTGAGGAGGAGAAGGTCAGAGTGTGTGGAGGAGAAGGAGGAGGTCAGTGTGTAGAGGAGGAGAAGGAGGAGGTCAGAGTGTGAGGAGGAGGAGGTCAGAGTGTGTGGAGGAGAAGGAGGAGGTCCTAGTGTGTGGAGGAGGTCAGAGTGTGAGGAGGAGGAGGAGGAGGTCAGAGTGTGTGGAGGAGAGGAGGTCAGAGTGTGAGGAGGAGAAGGAGGAGGTCAGAGTGTGAGGAGGAGGAGGTCAGAGTGTGTGGAGGAGGAGGTCAGAGTGTGAGGAGGAGAAGGTCAGAGTGTGTGGAGGAGAAGGAGGAGGTCAGTGTGTAGAGGAGGAGAAGGAGGAGGTCAGAGTATGTGGAGGAGGAGGTCAGAGTGTGAGGAGGAGGAGGAGGTCAGAGTGTGTGGAGGAGGAGGAGGTCAGAGTGTGAGGAGGAGGAGGAGGAGGTCAGAGTGTGTGGAGGAGAAGGAGGTCAGAGTGTGAGGAGGAGAAGGAGGAGGTCAGAGTGTGTGGAGGAGGAGGTCAGAGTGTGAGGAGGAGGATGAGGAGGTCAGAGTGTGAGGAGGAGGAGGAGGAGGTCAGAGTGTGTGGAGGAGGAGGAGGTCAGAGTGTGTGGAGGAGGAGGAGGTCAGTGTGTGGAGGAGGAGGAGGTCAGAGTGTGAGGAGGAGAAGGAGGAGGTCAGAGTGTGTGGAGGAGGAGATCAGAGTGTGAGGAGGAGGAGGAGGAGGTCAGAGTGTGTGGAGGAGGAGGAGGAGGTCAGAGTGTGTGGAGGAGGAGGAGGAGGTCAGAGTGTGTGGAGGAGGAGGAGGAGGTCAGAGTGTGTGGAGGAGAAGGAGGAGGTCAGAGTGTGTGGAGGAGGAGGAGGTGGTCAGAGTGTGTGGAGGAGGAGGAGGAGGTCAGAGTGTGTGGAGGAGGAGGAGGAGGTCAGAGTGTGTGGAGGAGGAGGAGGAGGTCAGAGTGTGTGGAGAAGGAGGAGGTCAGAGTGTGTGGAGGAGGAGGAGGTGGTCAGAGTGTGTGGAGGAGGAGGAGGTGGTCAGAGTGTGTGGAGGAGAAGGAGGAGGTCAGAGTGTGTGGAGGAGGAGGAGGTGGTCAGAGTGTGTGGAGGAGAAGGAGGAGGTCAGAGTGTGTGGAGAAGGAGGTCAGAGTGTGTGGAGGAGGAGGAGGTGGTCAGAGTGTGTGGAGGAGAAGGAGGAGGTCAGAGTGTGTGGAGGAGAAGGAGGAGGTCAGAGTGTGTGCAGGAGGAGGAGGAGGTCAGAGTGTGTGGAGGAGGAGGAGGAGGTCAGAGTGTGTGGAGGAGGAGGAGGTGGTCAGAGTGTGTAGAGGAGGAGGGAGGAGGTCAGAGTGTGAGGAGGAAGAGGTCAGAGTGTGAGGAGGAGGAGGTCAGAGTGTGTGGAGGAGGAGAGGAGGTGGTCAGAGTGTGTGGAGGAGAAGGAGGAGGTCAGAGTGTGTGGAGGAGAAGGAGGAGGTCAGAGTGTGTAGAGGAGGAGAAGGAGGAGGTCAGAGTGTGAGGAGGAGGAGGTCAGAGTGTGAGGAGGAGGAGGAGGTCAGAGTGTGTGGAGGAGGAGGTCAGAGTGTAGAGGAGGAAGGAGGTCAGAGTGTGTGGAGGAGGAGGAGGAGGTCAGAGTGTAAGGAGGAGGAGGTCAGAGTGTGTGGAGGAGGAGGTCAGAGTGTGTGGAGGAGAAGGAGGAGGTCAGAATGTGTAGAGGAGAGAAGGAGGAGAGTCAGAGTGTGAGGAGGAGGAGGTCAGAGTGTGAGGAGGAGGAGGTCAGAGTGTGTGGAGGAGAAGGAGGAGGTCAGAGTGTGAGGAGGAGGAGGTCAGAGTGTGTGGAGGAGAAGGAGGAGGTCAGAGTGTGTGGAGGAGGAGGAGGAGGTCAGAGTGTAAGGAGGAGGTGGTCAGAGTGTGTGGAGGAGGAGGTCAGAGTGTGTGGAGGAGAAGGAGGAGGTCAGTGTGTAGAGGAGGAGAAGGAGGAGGTCAGAGTGTGAGGAGGAGGAGGTCAGAGTGTGTGGAGGAGAAGGAGGAGGTCATAGTGTGAGGAGGAGAAGGAGGAGGTCAGAGTGTGAGGAGGAGGAGGTCAGAGTGTGTGGAGGAGGAGGAGGAGGTCAGAGTGTGAGGAGGAGAAGGTCAGAGTGTGTGGAGGAGAAGGAGGAGGTCAGTGTGTAGAGGAGGAGAAGGAGGAGGTCAGAGTGTGTGGAGGAGGAGGTCAGAGTGTGAGGAGGAGGAGGAGGTCAGAGTCAGAGTGTGTGGAGGAGGAGGAGGTCAGAGTGTGAGGAGGAGAAGGAGGAGGTCAGAGTGTGAGGAGGAGAAGGAGGAGGTCAGAGTGTGAGGAGGAGGAGGTCAGAGTGTGTGGAGGAGGAGGTCAGAGTGTGAGGAGGAGAAGGTCAGAGTGTGTGGAGGAGAAGGAGGAGGTCAGTGTGTAGAGGAGGAGAAGGAGGAGGTCAGAGTGTGTGGAGGAGGAGGTCAGAGTGTGAGGAGGAGGAGGAGGTCAGAGTGTGTGGAGGAGGAGGTCAGAGTGTGAGGAGGAGGAGGAGGAGGTCAGAGTGTGTGGAGGAGAAGGAGGTCAGAGTGTGAGGAGGAGAAGGAGGAGGTCAGAGTGTGAGGAGGAGGAGGTCAGAGTGTGAGGAGGAGAAGGTCAGAGTGTGAGGAGGAGGAGGAGGAGGTCAGAGTGTGAGGAGGAGAAGGAGGTCAGAGTGTGTGGAGGAGAAGGAGGAGGTCAGAGTGTGAGGAGGAGGAGGAGGAGGTCAGAGTGTGTGGAGGAGGAGGTCAGAGTGTGAGGAGGAGGATGAGGAGGTCAGAGTGTGAGGAGGAGGAGGAGGAGGTCAGAGTGTGTGGAGGAGGAGGAGGTCAGTGTGTGTGGAGGAGGAGGAGGTCAGTGTGTGGAGGAGGAGGAGGTCAGAGTGTGAGGAGGAGAAGGAGGAGGTCAGAGTGTGTGGAGGAGGAGGTCAGAGTGTGAGGAGGAGGAGGAGGAGGTCAGAGTGTGAGGAGGAGGAGGAGGAGGTCAGAGTGTGTGGAGGAGGAGGAGGTCAGTGTGTGGAGGAGGAGGAGGTCAGAGTGTGTGGAGGAGGAGGAGGTCAGTGTGTGAGGAGGAGGAGGTCAGAGTGTGAGGAGGAGGAGGAGGAGGTCAGAGTGTGTGGAGGAGGAGGTCAGAGTGTGAGGAGGAGGAGGAGGAGGTCAGAGTGTGTGGAGGAGGAGGTCAGAGTGTGAGGAGGAGGTCAGAGTGTGTGGAGGAGGAGGTCAGAGTGTGAGGAGGAGGAGGAGGTCAGAGTGTGTGGAGGAGGAGGTCAGAGTGTGAGGAGGAGGAGGTCAAAGGGCAGAGGACAGCCGTAGTGGTGGTCATGGCTGTAGATCCTGGTTGTTTGGATCAGAGAGTCGATGTCTCTCTCGCTCTTGGCGTACAGCTTGATGTCATCCATGTAGAGGAGGTGACTGATCTTTGCTCCGTTCCTGAGGCGGTATCCATAGCCAGTCTGGTCAATTACTTGGCTTAGAGGGTTGAGGCCTATGCAGAACAGTAGTGGGGACAGAGCATCTCCTTGGTAGATACCACAGTTGATGGTCACTTGTGCGAGCGGCCATTTGCCTCAAGGGTGGTCTTCCACATTCCCATCGAGTTTGCAACGAAGTCCCTTAGAGCCCTGTTGATATTGTACAACTTCAAGCATTCCATGATCCATGTGTGTGGCATTGAGTCGTAGGCTTTCTGGTAATCAATCCAGGCTGTGCACAGGTTGGCAGTCTTGGGCGAATGTTCTGTCAACCAGGAGCTGGTGTTTGGCTCCTCTGGTGTCTCTACAGGAGCTGGTGTTTGGCTCCTCTGGTGTCTCTACAGGAGCTGGTGTTTGGCTCCTCTGGTGTCTCTACAGGAGCTGGTGTTTGGCTCCTCTGGTGTCTCTACAGGAGCTGGTGTTTGGCTCCTCTGGTGTCTCTACAGGAGCTGGTGTTTGGCTCCTCTGGTGTCTACAGGAGCTGGTGTTTGGCTCCTCTGGTGTCTCTACAGGAGCTGGTGTTTGGCTCCTCTGGTGTCTCTACAGGAGCTGGTGTTTGGCTCCTCTGGTGTCTCTACAGGAGCTGGTGTTTGGCTCCTCTGGTGTCTCTACAGGAGCTGGTGTTTGGCTCCTCTGGTGTCTACAGGAGCTGGTGTTTGGCTCCTCTGGTGTCTCTACAGGAGCTGGTGTTTGGCTCCTCTGGTGTCTCTACAGGAGCTGGTGTTTGGCTCCTCTGGTGTCTCTACAGGAGCTGGTGTTTGGCTCCTCTGGTGTCTCTACAGGAGCTGGTGTTTGGCTCCTCTGGTGTCTCTACAGGAGCTGGTGTTTGGCTCCTCTGGTGTCTCTACAGGAGCTGGTGTTTGGCTCCTCTGGTGTCTCTGCAGGAGCTGGTGTTTGGCTCCTCTGGTGTCTACAGGAGCTGGTGTTTGGCTCCTCTGGTGTCTCTACAGGAGCTGGTGTTTGGCTCCTCTGGTGTCTCTACAGGAGCTGGTGTTTGGCTCCTCTGGTGTCTCTGCAGGAGCTGGTGTTTGGCTCCTCTGGTGTCTCTGCAGGAGCTGGTGTTTGGCTCCTCTGGTGTCTCTACAGGAGCTGGTGTTTGGCTCCTCTGGTGTCTCTACAGGAGCTGGTGTTTGGCTCCTCTGGTGTCTCTACAGGAGCTGGTGTTTGGCTCCTCTGGTGTCTCTACAGGAGCTGGTGTTTGGCTCCTCTGGTGTCTCTACAGGAGCTGGTGTTTGGCTCCTCTGGTGTCTCTACAGGAGCTGGTGTTTGGCTCCTCTGGTGTCTCTACAGGAGCTGGTGTTTGGCTCCTCTGGTGTCTCTACAGGAGCTGGTGTTTGGCTCCTCTGGTGTCTCTACAGGAGCTGGTGTTTGGCTCCTCTGGTGTCTACAGGAGCTGGTGTTTGGCTCCTCTGGTGTCTCTGCAGGAGCTGGTGTTTGGCTCCTCTGGTGTCTCTACAGGAGCTGGTGTTTGGCTCCTCTGGTGTCTCTGCAGGAGCTGGTGTTTGGCTCCTCTGGTGTCTCTACAGGAGCTGGTGTTTGGCTCCTCTGGTGTCTCTACAGGAGCTGGTGTTTGGCTCCTCTGGTGTCTCTACAGGAGCTGGTGTTTGGCTCCTCTGGTGTCTCTACAGGAGCTGGTGTTTGGCTCCTCTGGTGTCTCTACAGGAGCTGGTGTTTGGCTCCTCTGGTGTCTCTACAGGAGCTGGTGTTTGGCTCCTCTGGTGTCTCTACAGGAGCTGGTGTTTGGCTCCTCTGGTGTCTCTACAGGAGCTGGTGTTTGGCTCCTCTGGTGTCTCTACAGGAGCTGGTGTTTGGCTCCTCTGGTGTCTCTGCAGGAGCTGGTGTTTGGCTCCTCTGGTGTCTCTACAGGAGCTGGTGTTTGGCTCCTCTGGTGTCTCTGCAGGAGCTGGTGTTTGGCTCCTCTGGTGTCTCTACAGGAGCTGGTGTTTGGCTCCTCTGGTGTCTCTGCAGGAGCTGGTGTTTGGCTCCTCTGGTGTCTCTGCAGGAGCTGGTGTTTGGCTCCTCTGGTGTCTCTACAGGAGCTGGTGTTTGGCTCCTCTGGTGTCTCTGCAGGAGCTGGTGTTTGGCTCCTCTGGTGTCTCTGCAGGAGCTGGTGTTTGGCTCCTCTGGTGTCTCTACAGGAGCTGGTGTTTGGCTCCTCTGGTGTCTCTGCAGGAGCTGGTGTTTGGCTCCTCTGGTGTCTCTACAGGAGCTGGTGTTTGGCTCCTCTGGTGTCTCTACAGGAGCTGGTGTTTGGCTCCTCTGGTGTCTCTACAGGAGCTGGTGTTTGGCTCCTCTGGTGTCTACAGGAGCTGGTGTTTGGCTCCTCTGGTGTCTCTACAGGAGCTGGTGTTTGGCTCCTCTGGTGTCTACAGGAGCTGGTGTTTGGCTCCTCTGGTGTCTCTACAGGAGCTGGTGTTTGGCTCCTCTGGTGTCTACAGGAGCTGGTGTTTGGCTCCTCTGGTGTCTCTACAGGAGCTGGTGTTTGGCTCCTCTGGTGTCTCTGCAGGAGCTGGTGTTTGGCTCCTCTGGTGTCTCTGCAGGAGCTGGTGTTTGGCTCCTCTGGTGTCTCTACAGGAGCTGGTGTTTGGCTCCTCTGGTGTCTCTACAGGAGCTGGTGTTTGGCTCCTCTGGTGTCTCTGCAGGAGCTGGTGTTTGGCTCCTCTGGTGTCTACAGGAGCTGGTGTTTGGCTCCTCTGGTGTCTCTGCAGGAGCTGGTGTTTGGCTCCTCTGGTGTCTCTGCAGGAGCTGGTGTTTGGCTCCTCTGGTGTCTCTACAGGAGCTGGTGTTTGGCTCCTCTGGTGTCTCTGCAGGAGCTGGTGTTTGGCTCCTCTGGTGTCTACAGGAGCTGGTGTTTGGCTCCTCTGGTGTCTCTGCAGGAGCTGGTGTTTGGCTCCTCTGGTGTCTCTGCAGGAGCTGGTGTTTGGCTCCTCTGGTGTCTCTACAGGAGCTGGTGTTTGGCTCCTCTGGTGTCTCTGCAGGAGCTGGTGTTTGGCTCCTCTGGTGTCTACAGGAGCTGGTGTTTGGCTCCTCTGGTGTCTCTACAGGAGCTGGTGTTTGGCTCCTCTGGTGTCTCTACAGGAGCTGGTGTTTGGCTCCTCTGGTGTCTCTACAGGAGCTGGTGTTTGGCTCCTCTGGTGTCTCTGCAGGAGCTGGTGTTTGGCTCCTCTGGTGTCTCTACAGGAGCTGGTGTTTGGCTCCTCTGGTGTCTCTGCAGGAGCTGGTGTTTGGCTCCTCTGGTGTCTACAGGAGCTGGTGTTTGGCTCCTCTGGTGTCTCTGCAGGAGCTGGTGTTTGGCTCCTCTGGTGTCTCTGCAGGAGCTGGTGTTTGGCTCCTCTGGTGTCTCTACAGGAGCTGGTGTTTGGCTCCTCTGGTGTCTCTGCAGGAGCTGGTGTTTGGCTCCTCTGGTGTCTACAGGAGCTGGTGTTTGGCTCCTCTGGTGTCTCTACAGGAGCTGGTGTTTGGCTCCTCTGGTGTCTCTACAGGAGCTGGTGTTTGGCTCCTCTGGTGTCTCTACAGGAGCTGGTGTTTGGCTCCTCTGGTGTCTCTACAGGAGCTGGTGTTTGGCTCCTCTGGTGTCTCTACAGGAGCTGGTGTTTGGCTCCTCTGGTGTCTCTACAGGAGCTGGTGTTTGGCTCCTCTGGTGTCTCTACAGGAGCTGGTGTTTGGCTCCTCTGGTGTCTCTACAGGAGCTGGTGTTTGGCTCCTCTGGTGTCTCTACAGGAGCTGGTGTTTGGCTCCTCTGGTGTCTCTACAGGAGCTGGTGTTTGGCTCCTCTGGTGTCTACAGGAGCTGGTGTTTGGCTCCTCTGGTGTCTCTACAGGAGCTGGTGTTTGGCTCCTCTGGTGTCTCTGCAGGAGCTGGTGTTTGGCTCCTCTGGTGTCTCTGCAGGAGCTGGTGTTTGGCTCCTCTGGTGTCTCTACAGGAGCTGGTGTTTGGCTCCTCTGGTGTCTCTACAGGAGCTGGTGTTTGGCTCCTCTGGTGTCTCTGCAGGAGCTGGTGTTTGGCTCCTCTGGTGTCTACAGGAGCTGGTGTTTGGCTCCTCTGGTGTCTCTGCAGGAGCTGGTGTTTGGCTCCTCTGGTGTCTCTGCAGGAGCTGGTGTTTGGCTCCTCTGGTGTCTCTACAGGAGCTGGTGTTTGGCTCCTCTGGTGTCTCTGCAGGAGCTGGTGTTTGGCTCCTCTGGTGTCTACAGGAGCTGGTGTTTGGCTCCTCTGGTGTCTCTGCAGGAGCTGGTGTTTGGCTCCTCTGGTGTCTCTGCAGGAGCTGGTGTTTGGCTCCTCTGGTGTCTCTACAGGAGCTGGTGTTTGGCTCCTCTGGTGTCTCTGCAGGAGCTGGTGTTTGGCTCCTCTGGTGTCTACAGGAGCTGGTGTTTGGCTCCTCTGGTGTCTCTACAGGAGCTGGTGTTTGGCTGCTCTGGTGTCTCTACAGGAGCTGGTGTTTGGCTCCTCTGGTGTCTCTACAGGAGCTGGTGTTTGGCTCCTCTGGTGTCTCTACAGGAGCTGGTGTTTGGCTCCTCTGGTGTCTCTACAGGAGCTGGTGTTTGGCTCCTCTGGTGTCTCTACAGGAGCTGGTGTTTGGCTCCTCTGGTGTCTCTACAGGAGCTGGTGTTTGGCTCCTCTGGTGTCTCTACAGGAGCTGGTGTTTGGCTCCTCTGGTGTCTCTACAGGAGCTGGTGTTTGGCTCCTCTGGTGTCTCTGCAGGAGCTGGTGTTTGGCTCCTCTGGTGTCTCTACAGGAGCTGGTGTTTGGCTCCTCTGGTGTCTCTACAGGAGCTGGTGTTTGGCTCCTCTGGTGTCTCTACAGGAGCTGGTGTTTGGCTC